CATATATATTTATAGATAGATATATAGATATATATATGTTTATATATACATGTATATATATTAAAATATTTATATATATATATATATGCGTTCAACTCAGGAACTCAATTCCAATAGATCAATTCTCGTAAATTTCTAGGAATGCGGAGTTTGTTTATATCCATTTCGAAAGGTACTCATATCGATATCCTTCGCCTTCACCGCTTCAGATATTGAGGGCAGTAACGCACAGCTTCATCTGGAAAAATTCAGCAGAGCTGATAATGGGCTCAAGCTTATTGTACAATTGCCGTATTCTGGAACGATTATGGGGGTCTAGGAAATTCGGGGTACGTTTTCCCAATACATCCATCACCGCGCAAAAGAAATAATAGTACAATAATAAGTTAACGGTGTATGCTTCTTTTAGCCAGCGCGTGTCTAATCGTATTTGTACATGCGTTGTGTTGGCATGGACTCTCCAACTACGAGCGTGATGTGGTCTCCTATATTTCGGAGGGTACGCGTTCTGGCTTGGGCATGACTAGAGCACCACCTCACCTTGACCTTGCCACGTATTACATCCACAGTTCTTCGTTGGCTTTGTCCTCGTGACCAATACAGCTCTTCAACTACTCTATCTGGGCGTCTATGGTCGAAATGTTTCTCCTGGAGAGGCGGCTGTTCTTGCGAGTGGACCGTAAGTCGCATGTCTCGCCTCGTTCCAGGCGACTGCAATTTACACTGGGAGCAGTTGATGCTTGACATGATTTTGAATGATGATTTCGCGTTTTAGCGTCTAAATAGCATTTCGTAGTTACCCTACTGCAAACTCCTTTCTATCGTTACTAACTAATTCTTCTCCCGTCGTCTGTTTCTAAATGATTCTTTTCTCATCATCAGGTACGGAATTACCTTCGCAAATATTATTCAGTATTATTTGGACATACCCGCCATGAAGCATGTGAAGGTGATGGGGTTTCTTGTAACGGATAAACTACTGACCTATCTGATAGCAATCCAGGTACGTTCAACTGCTGCAACGTTTACATGTATTCACCACTGAAACAATTGCTATGTACTGAGATTTACTTCCTTGGCGATTTCTAAACACTCGTCATACTAAATTGATTCTACTGACGTGCACGTACACATGCGTGGTATGGTTCTATGTCCAGCTATTAGTGGCATTTCTGCCTTCAACAGCCGTTCCTGTTTCGGCTGGGCTACTGGCTGGTGTGATATATCGTCTGCCCGGGCTCGGACTCGATCAAATGTCTGTACCACCAGCACTTGCTGCGTCAATAAGTGTAGTGGGTTCCGTATTCTATTCAAACCCGGCCCGGCCTCAGGTATGCGTTCTCCGTTGTGGGCTTTACCAAAATTTGCACATAGCCTAGTTACAAATCAAACTGCAGTCGGCTGCGTGAGCGACTACGTTTATGTGTGTTTACTGCGACTGTGGTGTATGTCTGTCTGCATCGAAGAATCTTCATCGTTCTGGTGGTTTCCCCGCTACGTCCAACTCTACGTCCAACAGGGAGAGACGTTGCTAGGCACACGAGGTCCTCAATCCAGGACAAACATACGAGGGCCAGCGCCCATTGCGTTCGTGGCAGATGAAACTGCTGTCGACCAGATTGTTAGTATGGGGTTCTCAAGGGAACAAGCTGTGGCTGCACTTCGAAGGTATGTTATTTTGATACAGCCATAACGCCAACACATAGCATGCGGCTGTCGGCATAGTGACTCACAGCTTCTGCGGGTTCCTTGCACAAACTCACATACCATCACTTATCTGACTACTGTTTGCCAATCTCTTGCTGTGTCTGTCTGTCGGCAGGTCGAACAACGATGCTCAACGGGCCACCCATTTCTTATTGCAATGAAAAAGGGGGTGGAACTGGCACAGGCGTTCGAAAATACGAAGTAATTCGCGAAGCAACAAGGCTAGGATTTGGCCTTTGGCCCAAAAACACGACTCCCGCGGATCAGGGCGCGAGGGTACACAGACGCATCGCAACCACACAACTTGGATATCGGCTGACGTTTGCAATGCACCGAGCGACACACCAAGCAATCCATGCGAGAATCACAGCACATCGACCCAACCTCTCAAGGGGTTCATCAAAATTAGAAGTACCTTTGCTAGCCTACCGTCAATTATTAGTACTAAGCGAAGTCCATGCCCATTGAATTTCGGCGCATTGGGAAATAAAGTCTCGCAACACTCCGATTTTCACGTCCTTCTGCTTTGGCCCTCACTCGATAATAGCATAGACCTCATTGCACGCATAGTGTATACCCTGAACTTACACAGCAGGTGCGGGTGTTCACCTACTCTCCAGCCCCCCAATTAGCTCCTTCTCGGTCTTTAAACGTGCCTTCAATACGTTAGATAACTGTTCAAATCCTGATTTTTGCAACGCCTTCGTCGCGTCTTTCCCGAAAGCAGAATCGGGTCCATTGATGGCGTTGAGTCGGGCGAGAGACTTTGCATACTCGGTTCCTTTCAATCCTCTCGAATGCAGAATTGCCGAGTACATTTTTTCAATGCCACTAGTTTCCGATACCAAAGACGCAGCAAGAAGCTCACGGATCGACTCGTCCATGTACTGGGATGGAGCCTTGTTCAAGTTCTCCACAACAGCCAGCAAATCTGGAATCACAGTGACAGTACGCAGAAAGTTAAGGGGTATCTAGCTGCGGACAATTTATAGTTGTGCGGCACCCAAGCACCAGACAGCAAATAGTTAATTGGCACCGCATATCTCACAAAATTGACCGTTTACAGAGCGCAATAAAGTCCGTTGTTCTGAATATTCTCGTGCAAAGTATGTGACCAACCAAAAGACTACTTACACTCAAAGTAGTGGATTTTCCCCAGCGTATAAGCACCGAAAGGATCCTCTCGCAGCGCCGCCAGACACTTCACATAAACGGCAGGTGCGATGGCGACATCGGCTTTATTCCATAGAGCGACATGCTCTTGAACTTTCAGGAATTCCAAAGTGGTCAGCTGCATATCTGCTTGGTTGTATCGGCAATCGAGAATCACAAATTAGATTCACTACGAGTTCGCGGGATGATTTCTTTTTGCGCACCCTGAAGGCGGGGCTACAGAAACAAAGCCACACAGACGTGCACTATACAGAAGGCCATGTCCACTGCACAGAGCCATGTGATCAGGCTTGTGTGCAAATGCGAAGGGGAAGTTGACTGCAACACTTGTGAAACGTATTGGTTTAGAGTTAGGGATGTCTCTTCAAATGACGAATTAGAATCAGGAATAGCATAGGAAATATACAAAGCCACTGGGTACACCATAGGAACTCACTATGATAACATTACCTTTTTCTGACTCGAACATTGTCGTCAGGTAGTGTTCCAACTGGTGGTCCCTAGTGGTCCGTGACTTGCTTGCGATATGGTTTACCCAAAATAGATCCGATAAACTCCGCGCCTTCACAGCGGCTGATGTGAGAGATGTCAAAAAAAAGAAGAGATTTGAAGTTGCACCATGGCAGTATACATATACATATATATATATAATATATATATACATATATATATATATATATATACATATATATATATATATATATATACTATATATATACTACTATATATATATATAT